TAACAAGTGTGGGTAGATCAACGTGTATCTTGAGCTTTTCTGTGCATTTTCAATTTGGAGGTATTGAAATTGAAAGTCTTCAAACTTACACGACCCTTTAAAAGTTAGCTGATGAATGTGAATACAGTACATCGAAATAGGGCCCTGTCCTGGTTTCTAATCCATAATTGACTTCTTGGTGTGCTTTTTTCTTGGTATAAATAAAATAAATAGCTCTCAGCCTTGATGATGTGTTATAGAATCATAAGGAAGCCAGAAGAGCCTACTGCTGGATCAGGCCAGTGACCCATCTAGTCCAGCATCCTCTTTTCACAGTGGCAAACCAGATGCTTATGGGAAACCCACAAGCAGGATCTGAGCACAAGAGCTCCCTTCCCCTCCTCTGGTCTCTAGCAACTGGTCTTCAGAAGCACTGTTACCTCCAACAGGTCACCATTGATGGTCACCATTGATAGCCCTCTCCTCCTCCATGAATTTGCCTGGTCCTCTTTTGAAGCCATCTAGTTTGGAGCTGGGATGCGGGTGGCGCTGTGGGTTAAACCACAGAGCCTAGGACTTGTTGGAATCCCCACGACGGGGTGAGCTCCAGTTGTTCGGTCCCTGCTCCTGCCCACCTAGTCATGCTGGCCACATGACCCGGAAGCTGTCTGCGGACAAACGCCGGCTCCCTCGGCCAATAAAGTGAAATGAGCGCCGCAACCCCAGAGTCGGTCACAACTGGACCTAATGGTCAGGGGTCCCTTTACCTTTACCCTAGTTTGGTGGCCATCCCTGCCTCTTGCAGGAGTGAGATTAACTATGTGCTGCATAAAGAAGGGCTGTCTTTTATCTGCCCCAGAGTTGCAAAGGCACTCGTTGAGTGTGCCACCAGATTGCCGATAGCTTGCCATGTACCCGCTGTTAGGATATCGATGTTCCGTTCCACCTTAAGAACAGGCATGTGGAGTTGTTGTATGTCACATGTCTGTATACTTCCAGGACAGCCTGCTGGGAACTTCTGTTGAGTATAGCTTTTGCTTATGCTTCCTGTTCTTGGACATGAAAGAGAGCAGACATGTTTTTCTTTGTCCCGAACTATGCTGAATAAACTGCTTGTAAATATGCTTTACATATGCCTCTGTCCGCCACTTCTGTTGCATGTTATTCACTCTGCTGAGTGAAGCGTGCTCAAGCTTCTGAAGGCTTCTGAAGCTGTGTGCCACTGTTTTGATGCTGTTCCAAGGACTGGAGTTTGCCCTGCTGCCGGCCGGTGGGCTGGAGCCAGCTGGGGGCCTGCAAATTGCCCCCTCCCCCGTTCCCTTGGACACATCCCAACACCCACTGCTCCACTTTCCAATGCTGGTCCTCTTGGCCTCCCTCCTCTGCACACGTTGTAACGTCGCCATCTTTATAATCCTATCAAAAGCACAACAGAAGGAAACAGATTCATCAAGCATTTATTATAATTCAATACAAACTCATGGTGATGTAGAGTATCAGAAGCAGCTGCTGAGGACCAGCCCTGTGTCTGCTGACACACATACATACATACATACATACACACACACACACACCTCTGGGAAAGGGCTCCTCACATGCCCAGGCAGCAAAATCTTTCAGCCTCTTTAGTCTTGACTTCTTTTTTACTCTCAGAGACAGGAATTGACCACTTGCATACTGTTTTCAGAGGAATGTGGAAGCAGGTTCCTTCAAAAGTCCAAATTGCCTGGGACTTCTTTTCTCTTTGTGGGATATTGAAGATCATTCCTTTCCGCTGTTCCTTCAGAGGAGTGCATTGGGGTCTTCTCTCCCCGCTGTTGAGGGTGGGGGAATCAGGTGGGAAACCAGATGGGAGAGGGAATAGAATGGAGCATACAGAACAGGAAGAAGCCACTTTGCTGCAGATCCCCCTGGTCTCTCTTCTGATACCCTGACTGGGCTTCCTCCACTTTTCACTGATCATCAGGTTTCTCCAGCTGCTGGACCTCCTGAGCAGCCAACGTGGAACATGTCCTACCTGTTCCAAGGACGGGATGGAGCAACAGCTTTCTCGGATGATACTGCCCTGGTGATTGAATACTTCAAAAAAAGTAAGTCTTTATCTCTGGGAGGTAATGGTGGAAATTGATAAAATTATGCCTGGCTTGGAAATATGAGTGTTTCTCCCACTCTTGTAGTGCTAGAATTGGCAGATGCACAATGAAACTGAATGCTGGAGGATTCATAAGTCTTTCTTCACACAGTGCATAGTTAAGCTATGGACCTCACTGCTGCAGGAGACATTGATGGCCACGAACTCAGATGGCTTTAAAAGAGGATTGGACAAATTTATGGGGGAGAGGGCTATTAAGCATGAGGGCTATATTCTGCCTCCACAGTCAGAAGCAGTGATGCTAGAAATTGCAAGAGGGGAGAGTGCTCTTGGGCTCAAATCCTTTCCAATAATAGGCATCTGGTTGGCCACTGGGAGAACAGGATGCCAGGCAAGATGGGCCTGACAGCCTCCTCCTTGCTGAGTTCTATTATAGCAGTAGCAAGGCTAAGGAGGAGCAAGCTGAGAGGCAGGGCCACCCCCCTGGCTTGGTTGTAAGTAGGAAGGCGGACTGATGCTGGTGGGGCAGTGCTCAGTCTGCCCCTCTGGACCAGCCCCCCAGTGAGATAAGACCATATGGGAGTGTGAAATGATTTGTGGGGGGTTCTCAAGATGAGATGTGGCGCTTAGCAGCTCTACCTCTCTTTCACATCAGAACCAGTGAAGGCAGTGAAGGTCCTGTGTGAGTGTCTGGAGGCGGTTGGAGGATGGATGGCGGCTAACGGATTGAGGTTGAATCCTGACAAGACAGACAAGACTGTTTTTGGGGGACAGGAGGCGGGCGGGTGTGGGGGACTCCCTGGTCCTGAATGGGGTAACTGTGCCCCTGAAGGACCAGGTGCGCAGCCTGGAAGTCATTTTGGACTCACAGCTGTCCATGGAGGTGTAGGTTAATTCTGTGTCCAGGGCGGCTGCCTACCAGCTCCATCTGGTACGCAGGCTGAGACCCTACCTGCCTGTGGACTGTCTTGCCAGAGTGGTGCATGCTCTGCTTATCTCTCGCTTGGACTACTGCAACGCGCTCTACGTGGGGCTACCTTTGAAGGTGACCCAGAAACTGCAATTAATCCAGAATGCAGCACCTAGACTGGTGACTGGGAATGGTCGCCAAGACCACATAACACTGGTCCTGAGAGATCTACATTGGCTCCCAACACGTTTCCGAGCACAATTCAAACTGTTGGTGCTGACCTTTAAAACCCTAAACGGCTCGGTCTTATACACCTGAAGGAGCATCTCCACCCCCAACGTTCCGCCCGGATACTGAGATCCAGTGCCGAGGGCCTTCTGGCAGTTCCCCTGCTGTGAGAACTGAGGTTACAGGAAACCAGACAGAGGGCCTTCTTGGTAGTGGCGCCAGCCCTGTGGGACACCCTCCCATCAGATGTCAAGGAAATAAGCAGCTATCCTATCTTTAAAAGACATCTGAAGGCAGCCCTGTTTAGGGAAGTTTTTAATATTTAATGCTGTATTGTTTTTAACAGTTGATTGGGAGCCGCCCGGAATGGCTGGGGAAACTCAGCCAGATGGGCGGGGTATAAATAAATTATTATTCTTATTCTTATTCTTATTATTATTCTTATTATATCTGGGGTAAGGCATTTGATTCATTTTTGGATTGTGGACTGTCAGAAGTGGCCTGATGGTCAGTTTTGGTTAAGAATGTATGTAGCACTCTGGTACTATATACTGTATATAGACCACTGTGGTTGGCCCCTGTGAGAACAGGATGCTGGACTAAATGGTCCATGGGCTGGATCCATCAGGCTCTTTCTATCTCCTGATGTTTGGGGCTGCAAGGTCCATCTTGACCAGCAGCCCCAAACATCAATTCCTCTTGAGACGAGATCGGCTGGTTTCCAACTCAGGAGCCTGGGGAGAAATTTTGGACGAGGAGGATTTTGAAAGCATCCCTGCCACGTTGCAATGGAGGACTAATCAAGATGTTTTATCCCTGCTTGCCCACCAGATCCGGATGGAGACCTGGAAATTCCACCAAAGTCTTTGGGCTTCTCTGTGCTGCCACTAAGTAATCGTGTCTATCGGAAGCTTGTGGCAGACAGTAGCAGGAATGGAGTTCTTGTAGAAAACCTTCCCATCCAGGTAATAGCAACCCTAGGCAACAGGACCTGCTGCAAAATCTTCTGGTATATTCTAACCTTGCCCCTCCACTGTAAAGAGCATTAAGATCTACAAATGAGACCTGGTTAGTTTTGGCTATGGCCTGATGGTTATTGACTTGTGGTAGCACATCAACAGTCTTTTTCATTGCTGTGGAATTCTCTTCCTGCTGAAATACTGGGGGTCCCATCAGTACTGGCATTCTGCCGGCTTTTGAAAACACAGCTTCTGACTTGGGTCTCCTGTTTTTGATTGCTGTTTCAAGTGTTATGCTGGTTTAATGGACTTGTATGTCATATATTTAAATTATGGATGTATGGTTGTATTACTATGCATTTTAATTACAGGTAGCCGTATTTTCATAATTGTTTGTTTGTGGACCACCTTGGTACTCCCGGTCAGGGTTCCACCCACTCTTCCTCTAGTGACCTACTCCATTTCTGGTCATGACTGATCCTCATGACACTCCTCATCGCTGAGGGCCACAAATTCCCCAGCCCTGATTTAGACCACCTGGAAGTTGCTGATGCCACAACCTCCGCAGACCTGCCCTTAGTCCTTGTGGATCCTGTGGACGGTCCCTCTTCTACTTGGTAATGTGCCTCCCACAGTGCTGGACAGCTGCTCTGTTTGGCAAAGTGGAATGGAGAACTCAACATAAGATTGGGAAAATGAGACATGGAGAGGAACCTACGGATACACTTATCCCTGGGCCCGTCCCTTCACCTTATATAGAATCATAGAATTTTAGAGTTGGAAGGGACCACGAGGGTCATCTAGTCCAACCCCCTGCAATGCAGGAATCTTTAGCCCAACATGGGGCTTGAACCCATGACTCTGAGATGAAGAGTCTCATGCTCTACAGCAGGTATAGACAAACTCGGCCCTCCAGATGTTTTCAGACTACAGTTCCCATCATCCCTGAGCACTGGTCCTGTTAGCTAGGGATGATGGGAGTTGTAGTCCCAAAACATCTGGAGGGCTGAGTTTGCCTATGCCTGCTCTATAGACTGAACCATCGAATTTGGACGATTCAGTCTTTCCAGACAGAACCCTATTACTTCGATCTCCTTCTTGTTTCCTCTCAGTCATTGTAGGATCAATCCAGACACCGATGAAAAGGAATCCACCATGATAACTCCCATTAAGCTTATCCAGCAAATCCCTCCCTCTTTTCTAAGTTTAAGAGTCTCATGCTCGTACCAATTGAGCTACCCAACATCCCCTTGCTAGTGGGCTTTCCAAATAGACACATAGCTGACAGTGCGCTGACGGTGCTCCAGGCTTGATGGACTTGTCATCTGATCCAGCCATGCAGTTCTTAACTCTGTGTGTTGACAATTCTTAATCAACCGTTTGTCTTTGTTGATTTCTCAGGATACAAACCTGCGCACCAGAAGTGGAGAAGTCCCAACTGTCCAGCTTGGTGTTCAGTTGATAAATTCAGAGGTGAGACACATGGAAATGCCAGCAAGATCAGCTTGGGGAGCTCCAGACAGGAGAAATCTGAGAATCTTGCCTTCGTTAAAAAAAGGGGGTGGGACTGGACAGTTCAGATGGTCCATGTAGGACACTGGTGAACAATTTGCACCCTGCATGCAGCCCTCAGCCCAGTTTCAGGTGGCCCTTGGCCTGATTCATGTGGTTGGGGAGCAGCAGCATCGGGTATAGGGGGCAGAGGGGGCTTCAAATCCCCCAATATTTTTTGGCAGGTGGCAGTGCCCCGCAAATATTGAGGGGACCTCCCCCACCGCTGCTGCTGGGTGCCCCCTGTGTTCCCCAGCCCCAGCCTGGCAGTCCAGGAGCCAGACAGCAGCTGGGATGAGCAGGCATGGAGATCGCCCTCTGCACATCCTGCCCCACCTGGGGCATCCCAGGCAGCGTCACGTGTCGTGTGACAGCACCCCCTCAATGTGGGGGGCATGCTGGCTTCCCTGCTGGAGAGGAGGGGAAATATGAAGGTAGCAAGGAAAGAGAGAGAAAAGAGTGCCCCCACCTGTAGGATTGTTGACATGTCTGCTTAGCAAATTCGTGCTAACTCCAGTGGCAGGTCTTCAACATCTGGCAATGGAGTTTAGTTTGCCGAGCGCACTTCTGTACAGTGTAGTGTCAGAAAATGCTTCTTCTGTATCATCTACCTGATAACCTGTTGTCATTGGTGTGTCTACAGGTTCAGTTTGGTTAACACATCAGCATTTTTCTGACACTGTTGAGTCTGGCCCCTTCCATTTTGGGCTCTGATCCCATCCACTTTTGACTCCAGCCCCACCCACCAGACTATATTTAGGGGGGGGGGGGAATGAACGAATTCCTATGCCCCACAAGTAACCCAGGGATGCATTTTAAATAAAAGGACACATTCTACTCATGTAAAAACACGCTGATTCCCGGACCGTCCATGGGCCGGATTTAGAAGGCGATTGGGCCGGATCCGGCCCCTGGGCCTTAGTTTGCCTACCCATGGACTAGCGCCTCATGATGTTTTCGCTGGAATCTCCTTTCATAGAAGCGTAGAATGGTTGAGTTGGAAGGGACCGCAATTCTATAATTCTTTGAACTCCTGTCTCTGTGATACTTTGGATAATATCCTTCAAATGTGATGCTTTGTCAGAATCAAAACAAGCCAGAGATGCCAACACATCAAAAGAACTCGGATTCCAAATGTTCTGGGTAGTGCATGGGTGTGACACTTGCCTTGAGAATGCTAAATGTTCCAGACCTTTGCAGGCTTGGCACCAGACTGCACACTCCTGACTCGTAACCATGCTGCTATTTAAACATGGGCCTGTGATCCTGTTCTTGGGCTGCTGCCTTAAATGGAGCTCCCCTCCACTGGCCCTCATGTGATTCTGCCCGAGAGGTGCAAAAATCACTGCAGACAGCAGGCAACCGGGCAGCCAGCTCCTCTGGAAAGAGAGAGAGTGCCCCTGGAGGCAGTTCATGAATATAGATGATGGTTTGCATTCTCTTGTAAAGCCCTCTGCCCTCCTCCTCTGCCTCAAGCGCTTGCAAAGGAGTCTGTGTTAAAATAACAGAGAAGCCGAGAGGCTCAGCCTTGCTAAGCACCAACTCCAGCCTGTCAGTCCAAATTAGGTTGTAAAGGATGGAGGGAATGTGTCTGCCCCCGTGCTCTGCAGCGAAAAAGGGGGAGAAAGTATGGGGGAGGGAGGCTGATTAAAATACCAAGAGGTTCTCTTCTGCCTGCCAGCAGCTGGCCCACAAATAACAGGAATCGACGTTGCACTGAGTCACGTGTGCAAATCTGACCTGCTGTTCCCAGTGCTCAGAGTTCATGGCCTCTCTCAGGTTGCCGCTCGTCATGGACTGTTTGGACACAGAGGAATGGTGGGAGGAACCAACTGAGGAACCATCAAGGGAAGAAGGCTCAGATCCCAGGGAATGATGGTGGGACAATGATGAGTAGTGTTGTAAACAAAAATTGCCCTTTTCCCTTATGGGGTATCCAAGAGCCCATATAGAGTCCTTACGTAGGTTCCCTATTGGTAGGAGAAAATAACAGAGGCCAACCAGAGAATATTGAGAAGCAAAGCAGCTAGTAAGCCTGATCTTTATTGATCTGTTGCAACAGGGTGCTCCCCTCACCCGCAGGAGAGGAGGAGGAACCCAGAACAATGGCACGCAAGGCCTTATATAGACTTTTGAAATTGCCAAACTGTAGATCAAGACCACCCACAGAAACATCATACATACATCACAGAAGGGGTGTAACCTAAGACCACCACCCCCCAGATACATCATACCTACATCACAGAAAAGGTGGTCTAAAACAGAAATTTGAATGTTGTTTTTCCTGGTTGCCAGGTTATCTAATTGCCTTTCCTGATTGTCTTTCCAGATAGTCTGTCACCCATTAAAATGCTGATTACTCAATTCCTGAGACAATGGGAAGGCTCCCTGACCCCCCCCCCTTCCTCCTTGAAGGGAAAACATTTGGTCAGTTTGGGAATCAAAATGGTTTCAGGTCGGTCTTCCTGTGCTGATCTATGTACATGCTTGGTTGGTACGCTTATGAACATTACCATATATCTAAGACCTCAAAATTCCTATCACAGTAGTCAGGGGGAGAAGTCTGGGAAGAGGGGGTGTCAGAAGATGAAGGGGTAACAGGCTCAGTGAGTTGAGAGAGTCTGTGGCGGAAAGAAATCCAGAATCAGGGCAGAAGCTGAAGCAGATAAGTGAAAGGAGGGAGGTCAAGAGGCAGAGATGTGTCAGGCTAGTGAAGAGTCATGAGTGTCTCCCCCTCCTGCTGCAATAAGCTCCCCTGCCTGGTCTCCCAGAACCAGAAGAGGCATGGAATGGACGGAGCAAAGAGAGGCTGCATGCAGGTGTAGTCTCTGATTGCTTGCAAGAAGCCCTGGAGAGGAGGAGACATAGAAGGTTCTGGGGAGGCAGGTACTTAGAGTCTCAACAATGATTTCATGGAGTAAGACCTAGAAGGCACGAGCTGCTGTGTTCATTAGGCCTAAAACTCCACCACGTCTGTGAGGATTGTGTTCCGCAAATGAAGAGTTAACGCCAGCTTTGAACTGTGTAATTTACTAACCGGCTCGCTTGGTGACACTGCCTTCCCGTACGCCTTGGAGGTCAGGCATTCAGGCTCATCTGTGCTCATTGCAAATGCTAAGCTTTGCTGGACTCCAGAACATTAGCTGTAATATTTGTTTGCTTGTTTGCTTGCTCTTGCCCAGGGCAACCCATTGTAGGTGGTCACACTAGACACTGGCACCATATATAAAAAAAATTATGTGGGTTCCTGGCCTCTGCTCCCTGCCACTGTCACCCCCCTGCTGGGACTCATTTAGGTACATTAATTTCAGTGGGTCTTCTCTGATCAGGGCTAACCTTGGATGCAATCCTCTGGATTGTACTTTTTATTTTTCTAGAAGCTGCTTTGAGACATTTGGTGAAAAGTAGGGTATAAAATTCTTCAGTAATACAGAGGTACCTTGGGTTAAGAACTTAATTCGTTCTGGAGGTCCGTTCTTAACCTGAAACTGTTCTTAACCTGAAGCACCACTTTAGTTAACGGCGCCTCCGGCTGTTGCGGTACCGCCGGAGCCCAATTTCTGTTCTCATCCTGAAGCAAAGTTCTTAACCCGAGGTACTATTTCTGGGTTAGCGGAGTCTGTAACCTGAAGCGTATGTAACCTGAGGTACCACTGTATTGCAATTAATAACAGCAGCTACAGACTGCACAGAGTAGAGACTTTTTCATTGCCCAGGGCTGAACCTCCTAAGTATATCTACATTGTAGAAACATTATTTTTACAGGGGATGGGGCATTCTGGGACTGGTGCTACAGTTGCAGAAAACAGCTGTGCCTTGGCCTTCTCCCCACCACCACCCCTCCCCATCTGCAAAGTTAATTTGGGACCGAACTTAAAGCCGGCAGGTTAATTCCATTGCTCTCCCCCCACAAAGCGCCGGGGCCCCTGGCTGGAGCAGGGCTGTCTGGCGAGCTACTTTGGAGTAATGGCCCAGGGGGTCAGCGGAGGGGGGCCGCGTGTGATGAATTATTCACAGAGGTGTTGGTAAGTGCAGAATTAATCCCCTTCCTTCCAGCTGGCTGCTGCACTAAATTATCACTCCTAGTCATGCGGGAAAATGCTGCGGAATTCATTTAGCTGATTATTGTTTTGATCTAAGGGCTGTTGTGTTCTTTTTTATCCCCCTTCCCCAGTTCTCCTCCTCCTCCTCCTCCTCTTTCTCCCCCTCCCCAACTAATGTATGTACAAGCGAGGGAGGGGGGGGGATATCAGGTGACAAGCTCAGCTTCTCAATCCTGCCCTTAAAGCTTGTTTCAGCAAATCGGCCCTAGCAACAATGGAGAAAAGAATGGATTTGTTGCTAGCGGCGCAAAGGAAAGGGAGGAGGGCGGTGGGAAGCGGCGCCGCGGGTTCAAGCAATCACAGCTTTGCGATGAACTGGACCGTTTTAAGTGCTAACCTCCCAGAATCCATCAGATTTTTTTATGAGCAACCTGGCAGGCGGTCGGTGTAAAGAGTGCAGGCTTTGGAAAGGTTTAAAATGTGCCAAAATCACTGGTACCTAAGAGGCAGGTTGAGTCACCTGTAGATCCTTTCTGTGCCCTTGGATTTTTAGTTGGGGAGAGCGCTGTTGCGCACGGGTCCTGCTTATGGGCTACCCAGAGGCATCTAGTCAGCCAGCCTAGACGGGCCATTGGTGTGATCCAGCTGCT